GTATTCCAGATATTCCCGCTGAGGTAATACTGTTAACGTCTTTATGCAGTGCGTTATGTACGCGCACGACGCCTTTCACGAATATATAATGGAATATTATCGAGCAGCAACGTGTGTGCATGTTGATTTATGCAAAATTTCAGCAAAACTAAAATATATCCAAGAAATCTCCTAACTTCACCTGATTGTAAAAACTGAGAGCGCGATACGTTAATTCTTTTTTCGTAAATAAAAACGACATAGTTTCAGAAAGCAATAATTTTTACGCTAAACTAAACAAATATATATTATTCTAAAAAACTGAAACTATATGAACTGAACTAAATTAGAATAAACTTGAAAAATTACAAGTCTAAATCTTAAAAGACTTGAAATCCATGAAACGCGGGGAGAATATCACAGATCTACTCTATATCTAATTATTGATATAAAATAAAAGATATTGATATAAACCAATATCGGCAGAGGACTAGTATATTCTATATGGTCGTTATAAATATGAAATAATTTCACTATATAAGATTTTCTACAAACTAACTGTGCGGGAACAGTTAAATGTCTGACATATGGCGCCCGTCGGACTGTCAACAATCAAATGAACATGCTACGTCTTACATATAAACACATATACAGTTTGATCTGCATGTTGTATACACAAGTGTTCTATCTAGCTATGTCTATGCTGTGTCTTGATTACTAATTACTACACCGATAGTATATTATGATTCATATGCTGATTATTTTAATTAATATGAATATCAATTTCTCATCTATATACCTACCGTTAATTAATGTATATTAAGTGTTAAATATTGCTTTAGTCCGGAGTGGAGCTTTGTGTGTGTTAAAATACTTCAACTTCCCGCTAATTTTCCCTACATTGTTCTATATCAACAACTCGAAAATAACTAACTGTACGAGCTTTTAATTCTCGTTACTTTTAGTTTTAAAAATATAACGCTTTGCGAAGTATTCTCGTGTTACGGTTTCAAAGTTATTATAATATCCCCTCATAAACAATCGACGTTTTAACGTTAAAACAAATAATTATTTCTTTTTTCCATTCGACCTATTTATGCATAAATACATACATGTATATCGTTCTATTAAAAACAACAGCAAATATATATTCCAGCATATTTATCCCAATGAATTACATTATAACGCGAAATTCGCTGAAATTCGCGCGAAAGAATACCGTAAAGATGATATTAAAGTTTTGTCGCATGATATTTCATAAACAAGTTTCCGATTCACGAAAGTGCACCATCTATTGTGGCTGCATACTGGTCGCAGTATTAAATTGCAAATCAAGTGTCTCGGGTGTTATCGCCCAACTTATTAAGTGTCCTCGATACGTGAAAACTTTCGGCTCCACACTAAGAACTCGGAAAATCCCCGAAGAAAACTGTTATTAGATATCAAACTTGGACGACGTCGCGCAGGCTGTCGAGCTTAAGAATATTTACAAAGTCTAAACATCTTTTTGTGCGTAACGATTTTCTATGCTTGCGTGTGTAGCACACGGAGAGCTTCCGGAAATTTTAACTTTTTTGCTGTTCAGTAATCTACACTCGTGTTACACTTTATGACTCGTGAATAATTCTGCCAAACAAGCAAACTTTCTTCTGTCTAATCCTCTAATCTGACAATCTTTTTCGCGCTTCGCATAATAATTACTAAAATCTACTAATATATCATTGCGACAATTCATAATCGTCATAAAAGGATTACCCGAGTCGAAATTTCATTACTACATTAACAGTGCAAATATTGTTTCAAAGATCAATGGAAAATCAATAAAGAATTTCCAGCTATAACCATCTACTGTGTCATCTTGTGTGATGCTAGAAATAGTCACTTAATTCTATCTTCTTTATATGAAATATTAAAAAAGACTTCATTTCGACTTGGATTTCTCCTTATTCTCATAGAATTTTACACACCTGTAAGTATGATGTATTACTGCCAACAGTATGACGTACTAAGCCCTTCGTTCTGACTTCTCGGTCCAGCTGCTCCGTCGTGGCACTTTAGATATTCACTCGTGGCATTGACACTCGCGTAGAGACGATTCAATTAAAGAAATACGTGATAAGTAACGCGATGCCGATTACACACGATCCCGCTAGAGTCCGACAAAACGTTTCAAAGACGACGCAATATTTCAGTCGGAGTGAATAATTAACGAACCGATACGCGTACTATGCGGCATGCGGCGTACTTGCCGACTCAAGACATAATGGAAACATCTGGATAAGCGCGCGACGCGTGAGGGTAGGTTTGAAGGTCCGTAATGTTTTGATTATTGTTATCGCGCTCAGTATTCAGTGACGGGCGGCGACAACAGGCGACAGAGTGGAGATGACTTAGCGAATTGTTTTTGTTCATTGTTTCGATACTTTCACGCATTTGCGTACATTCTCCGCCGCCAAATCATGACGTCGCAAGCCGATAAGCAACAAGCGTACCGCGACGCGGAGCACATACATATCGGTGTGTTCATTATCATAATTAAAATAATTCATCGATCTCTTGAAATATTTAATTGGGCTCTCGTCGACACCGCGTTAATTAATCCGCGTTTGTTCGATCCAATTGTGTCTACACGAGTCATGAATATTCGGAAATGCCACGATGGAACTGCTAGGAATCAAAATATTAAATCGGTAACGAGGACGGAAGACATAGGAAGCCAAGATATGGGTAGCGATATATCATCATATATATGATTAATTAAAAATTATATTATATCAATAAAAATTCTCTATTGATCTTTCAAATCGACGAAATTTCGATGAAATTTCGACTCAGGTATATTAAAGCTTTAAGCAGTGACTCGAAAAATAAAGCGTTTCGCGCTGTCAAAGTTTCATTCGCGTAAACGAAGCGATCAGCGCGCAACGGTGAAACGTAAATTTCGCATTTGATTAAAATACATCAAACAGCGTGTTACGTATACTTCGGGCTTTCTATCAAGCGACAGCGCCACACAAGCTCGATCAAGTTGCAAACGCACATTATATAGTACAGAATGCATAAATTATACGCTAAACTAAGCTGGCTCGTCGGAACGGCCTAGCATGCGAGGATGACGAAGTGACGTTCATTAAAGCTCCAGTTGCAACAATTAATTGACAGAGCGCCACAGGCTCGAGGGGAGGGGACGTTATGATTACCGAGCGAACTAGTATTTTAAATTGAAGATAAAAAATTCTCTTGCAGAAACTGTCGGCTTCTTTTATCAAACTGCTGCGCGTCGTAAGTGCAGAATAATATTTTGCTCGTATATACATTTCAATGCCCTTCGCTTGATTTATTCGTGCACATTCGCGATTTTTACCTGAGTAATAATCTTAATTGACATGACAGAGCTGTTTTCACCGCTATAATAACCTCCATTAACACGAAACCAAAGTTGCATACCGTACAAGAAGAAAAAGATAAGCACTGGCTTTGGCGCTAGTATCTCGGCAATTAAGCGATTATCTATATCAGTTAAAAGTATTAGTAAAGTTATTAATTACGAATTAATTATGAAATAGTTGAAATGAGATACATATAGTCGCCGCAATCACTGTTAATTATCAAAGAGACGCTAGCGATATTGATTTTGCGAGAGGTACATTATTTCGATTGCGCACTTCGGTGATGCACTGTTTAGATTTACGTAGATATCAAAGCCAATCATATGGCAACAATACTGTTTGTAGTAGGAAACCACTTGAACATTAGAACCGTTATAATTATCAACTCCATACGGCAATATCTTTATTGTCATTTCTATATAAGCTACGTTTCCCACGGGAAATGTATCACCATGTGGTCATAACAATGGTCGTTTGAAATCATTATTATTCACATTGTGTGTATGTACTAGTTAATGTATACTGTATTATTGTGAGCGCTGCCGCGTAATATATTACCGCGATGATTAATGCGTATCAAACGATGATCGCACTCATTCTTATTTTCTTCTAGTTTATCCATTGAATCCTTTTTGCTGAATTGAAAAGTATAAAAATGCTCACGCGACGAAGTGTTTGTGACAGTTTGGCAGCGTTCTACCTTACATTGCGCTATAAACCGAGTCGTTATGAAGGTGCCGTAGCGAGAGAAAAATTCGACTCTGGCAGGCATACCGAAAACCATCTGAATCGGAAATGCAAGGATAACGAATCGACGATACAGCACGTGGCTATTGTGTCTGCCAAGAATCGCGGGACTATATTCACCTGCAGGTCGGTGAGAAGCCGTTTTCTGATAAAAGATGCCTTCCATGCGGTGAGACCAGAGATTTTCCTAATCGATATTCTATACAAAAGCCACTATTTCTCCGAATATAATAAGAATAATAATGAAACTCAAGGTGTAACACACTTGATCAGATAGGATTCACGAATCGTTTGCGCGTACCATACTCACACCTCGGCGTCGGAAATGCTCAAAGATTCAATTTCTATGCAATTTTTCGAACTTATCTAGAAATGGAGTATAATTTAACATAAAATGACATCCACGTACCGCATGGTGCGTAACGTATTCCGGCGAACGTGGAAGAGGAATATAAAGAAAGGAAGAAGTGTGGTATATATCGAGAGAGATATGCTCAACATAAAATAGGGGTGTCAGTAAAATTATGCGGAAGCATAGAAATTCAATTCCCACAGTGCATCAGTCAAACGGGAAAAATACACAAAACTTGCAGAAATAAAGTGCGAGCAATTATTTCTCTAACAATCGTTACATCAGCGAATGAAATTGCTCTCCCGAAACCACGCTCTGCGCAAAGCGAGCAACGAGTACTCTCATGCTCTACGGAAAGAGAGGGCCTAGCGATAAACTTTCGTTTCTCTCTCCCATTTTGTCGCGCGTCACCGTGCCACTCCCGATCTCCCCTGATCTGCTTTTGTGTGCATGTAATATACGTTCATCTACGATGCAATCGGCCAGACGCCAGTGAAGACGCGGCACGAGGAGCGTTAATAATCGTTGTTTACCTTGTTCACCGGCACGCACGACGACAATCGCACGAGTGGCCAGTAGAACGACGGTGAGGGCGACGTTGATATGCAGTGGATAGCGCCGCATCTCCGAAGCGAGAAGGGCCAGTCGCTACGTGCTGTCCGTACGCTTCCTCATGCCACCACCCGTCGCGAAGTTCCTCAGGGTACTGTAGCCGGATTCACCGTGAAAATTAGCGAGCCAAGTGCGGCTTAAAGCGTATCTCGTGCAAGAGTACTCGTACTATCGCACTACGTATTATCCCCCTCGAATATTGCGTCCAGTATTTCACCGTCGCGATCGCGTCTGCCTCATCGTTTCATCCCGTCACACTCCTCGAACTTCCGGCAACTCCCATCTATCTTGAGTCTTCGTCGTCTATTTTTATATCCCGTCTATATCCATGTCTGTTTAGTGCGCATTCGATCACGGCGTTGTTCGATGCGGGAGGAAAGGGGTGAGACAGAGGGTGAGAAGAGATCGCGGCCGATCCGATAGCCGGAAAGTGCTTAGTATTGTATCTACCTGGGACACAGTAAACGGCGCGCGTCGAAAAATGCGAAGAGCGTGGACGTAAACTCTTCCGGCATGTTGGCGGGAGTTATCTCGCGCGACGGCAATTCTTCGCGACGATCTGGTACGCGGCTCGCGACCGCAGCGAGTAATGCTCGCAGGAATTCGCCGATTGTGCACGGCGAACCGAGCATGGTGCAAGCGGACACGCCGATCGGTCATTCACGTCCGCGTGTCGACCGCGTTCCATTGACTGCGATTTGTCGGAAGGCCGTAGAACGATCGTTCGATCCAAATATTCCGGTCGTCAAATATTTCCAATGTTGCGAATATTTCTTTTCTCTCTCGATCGTGTTCACTTGCCACTTCAAGTCCTCGAAGACGAGGGCCGGCCTGGTGCTCGATCGATAGCTGGATCTTTCTTGTCTGTTTATATTGTAAATGGAAGTATTACGTAGAGACAGGGGAAACAGCGAATCTCATTAATCCGAGGATAGATTAGACCGTCGGTGCGATTAATCCTCCAGTTAAGATAGTTCTTTGCCTCTTACAGAACGCGGCGGTTAGAAATAAATGAAGCTCCATGTCGCGTTACGTGCGCGCCGTCCTTAGCTAAGCTAAGTGTCGATAACAATCAAGTCAACTGATGCGCGCCAGATTCTCAGCGATTGCACGACTGATAGCACGAGTAATGCCGGTTTAACTGCCGTTTTTGTCACGCATCTTCGAGCAACCCTGGCTCTTCTTTCTGCCGTAAATCACCGAAACCGCCACCTCTATAATCAGAGATCCCTCTCTGAATAAGCGAGGGGGAGCAAAGCCGTTCAGCCGAGAATCCCCGATGGGGAACTGAAGACTTCTCAGAAACACCGTATTTCACGGTGATATCGTCTGACGAACGCGAATATTCGCACGCGCGGTGTGACACACGCGAGAACGCGATCGCGCCGCTCCGAAGACGAGCCCCCGCGATCCATACTTCACCCCTAAACGAAGACTATCGCGCGGGAAACTTCGTAGCGGGCAAACTTGCCTACTCGCGAAACCCGCTTAACTGCTCTCAGGAACGGAAAGAGCTATTCCGCTTTATGTTCTCCATTCACTCGCCGATCGCGCACATTCTTCGAATCTCGCTGGTTCCTCGCTGCTTCCCGCGGTCGCGACGAGACATATCGAACGTTATCGTGCCTCTGTTCTCTCTTTCCCGCGCCGTCACCAAAACGCAAAAGTCCGATCACACGGAAACCGTCATCGATGTCTGTCGTGTGCGATCGCGCGGAATTGCACAAGTTCGCGCAAAAAAAAACATCAGTGTGTCCGGCGGATCACCAGCACAACTCCCCGGCCCTCCGGCCCCGCGATAACACTCATCGTCGCTGCGAGATCTGTTTTCGGTCGTTGTGATATCGCTTGTCACGAGGATCCTCCGCTCACGTCCGATCACCACCAGGGGCGAGATGAGGGTGAGCTCGGCGTGACACGGCACCGACGGGGGTGAACCGGCGCGCGTACGGGCGGACGCGGGCGCAGTGGTGCGAGCGCCCGACAAGCCCGCCGCTCTCGCTTGTTCGCGGAGGCCGAGCGCCGACGACGCCGGCCGTGCGAGCCCGAACGATCGCACCCTGCTGCGCCGGGCACCCGCAACCTGGCCGCCCATCGCCGCATAGCACGAAATTTACACAATTTGGGAGAACAATGATATTCTATCTGATTGCGCGTAAAGGTGAGCGTAATTCGCGTTGCACATTGTAAATTACAACACAACCAGCCAGAGGCGCGACTTTCCGTCGTAATGTGAGCGTCGCGATGCAACGATCGCTTTTAGCCCGCTCCTTTCGCCAGTGAAAGCGATTCCGAGAGGAAATGATGATGCTTCATTTTCAAGTTGCGCGAATGTCGTTACGCCTAAAGTTTGAGTTTATAAAGGGAATACGTCCCATTATCACGAATATTGCGCTAATAATACAAGTTACCGTGATAATAATATTTAGTTAGACTCGCGTCGAAGTACTGCAACTTCGATATTTACTTCTAATTCTTGTACTTCTGCCAACGACCCGGGCACGGTTAATTGCGCGGATTTTTATCATATTTTATTTTTTAACTTTAATAACACTATCAATAAACATCTTCTCATCACCGCGATGAAGTTACTGGAATTTTCTCGGGAAATAATTTTTTGCGACAAAAATAAGTTGAGAATGTAGATTAAAATGCTATCACGGCAAGCTTCTTTTTCGAAGAAAAGAATCGTGTCCATCGGTAAATTATTTCCTGCATTGATATTTTACAGATATTTTATTATTTATGGCATAATGTGAGAACGAAGGTAACTTCTACCCACGAAATCCCTCTCATACACGATTGTATACAACTTTGCGTCGTCTCGTGTTCGTTCGTGATAATTCCATTCCTTTTATTGTGCACCTAGTACGCGTTCTTTCAAGCGCGAATTGAAAGTCGATTTTTGTTAAAGTGAACAAAGCTTCGATCCCCCTATTCTGTTTAGTTTAGAATATTTTGTTCTCTCGGTGTATTTTACAAACTACGCGAGTATGTAAACGAATAGCAATGAATTACTATGTTTTTCTGTGCTATATATATGTGTTAGGAAAAAATATTATTTCTTTTTTATACTTTTAGGTATTCCAAAATACGATATTCAACAACTTTATCGACTGACACACTACTTTGTAGTCTTTCCATACACAACATTATATTCATTTCGGTCAGTTCTGGGAAAAATTAAAATTAAAATGCGAGTTAAAATGCGAATCAAGATAAACTTTAAAACGGTCTTAAATCTGCTTGAAGCCAAATCAATTTTAGAACATCGTTACCACGATGTGTTTTTACTTTAATAACTTTATTCATCAAAACTTATTGTTAGCCTTGGTAATTTATAATTATATTATATAATTAATTAGTAATTTATAATAATATTTAAAAACTGCCGATGTTGACAAAACGGTTCGATGTTGACAAAAATTTCACGTTTGTTAATTTAGCCTTTAGTATCTGTAGTAGATAGAAAGCGCGGCTGAGACACCCCATATATCTATCAAGCATTTCACGATAGCAACTTTGGGAATTGTTTTTCAAAGAAATTGGAAATGCTCCAAAGAGAACTTTCCGTCCCATTGCGGCGATATCGAAGAGCGTGCGCGAAAGTAAATGAAACTTCAATAATCGATATGCAAATTCGGTGAAATAATCCCGATAATAATGCAATGAAATTGCACGTGCACATTGCACACCACGCACGATACTCTCCCCTAGATTCAATTATAAACAGACAATTCGATTAAAAAAAGATCAATTGTCTCTAAATAAAAAAAAAGAGCTTTCGATATTGTAGGTAAATTTCCGACACACAATGCATCGCCCACCTGTTTTTTGCGTATAAAATATTTTTTTACATAACTGATTTGAACCATAAACCACAAACCACGCAAAATTGTTAGTTTATAACTTAATAATATTAAAAGTATCTGATGGTGTCATAATAACTTCATGCGATCAGTTATGCCATATATTGTGAGCGCGAGAATTGAACGCGTCTAGTTAAAAATTAACTTAGAACAAATTGTAGTCTAATTTGTTGATTTTTAATTTCATCATAGATTTCATCCGACATAGATACCGGGATATTAAGCGTGCAAAAATCAGAAGTTTTATATCTGACACATTGAGAGAATCTGTGTCTGCACGAAAGAGGAAAAACGTGCGATTTCCGGCACAGTTTGTACGTGAAGAAAATCTGAGCAATGCGCATCCCGACTGTGTCATCCTCTACTTGCGAAACGTCGCGTACGAGCACTAAAGGCGAGATATGGAACTTTTCGTAAACCTTTCGGTGTTGGAACCGCTCGTCTTAGATCTTTTGAAAGATTGAAAGAAACTTACCATCCCCCTTGAACTGTCACGATTTTTCCCTGTCGACTGTTCGCCACTATTCAACCTTATCGATGTAAAGAAATTCTGACTACGCGAGTACTTAGTAATAAATGATTCCCCAACAGAATTGTAAATGTTGCTATGTTCAAAATAAAAATAATTAACTGCGATGTATGACGTCACATCAATACCCTCCAATCGGATATATCTACACAACGTTTCAAAATTAATTTCAAAATTAAATTTCACAATTATATTTAAGACTAATATTTCGTTTTGTTGTAATAATGAATCTATTGAACGTACACAGAGAATATATTGTAATAAAAATTACAACAAAATTTTTATAATCTCGGACCAAATAAATAATCAAAATTACTATATATTTATTTAAAAATATTATTTGCATGTTTGTCTTTTTATTACGAAATTACTGTAATTACTTGAATGTTTCTTATATACCAGAGTAAGTCGTCAAATTTACTATTTCTCTATAATAATTTACATTTTAGTATAATCCAGCTTTACAGAATTTTTACAAATATATTGTAAAAAGCAATATAATTTTAATGTAATTTCTACTATAACATTTTCTTCGTATACAGATTGCTTGTCGAATAGAAAATTTTTGAATCTTCAAAAATTGTTTGGACGCGTCGCACGATACCTTTTACGTTTGTACGATTTATGCTAGACGTCTGACACGAATAAGTATGATTCGTGGGGTTCAATTATAAAAGCCGTCAACCTCGAGATCTCGAGATCGATCAAAAGGCGCGGTCGAACGCACCGGTGACAAATGCAAGTCAGGAACAGATTTGCATCTCGCACTGGCCTCGTCCGTGGAAAAGAAAATAGGACGAGCGGGAGCCGCGGGCGGGATTTAGCGGAGTATCAGTGATGCCGCGTGATTAATTAAGTACACGACGATAAGACCCCGGACGGAGAAGCACTTCGGACGCACGATGATAGAATGAAGCTGCCGTTTCCAGACACCTGTGACTCTAGATGGCGAGCGAAAGATGGAGAAGGAAAGAGAGGGAGCATACCGAACAGTTCAATCACCTCTCAACGGTCAGATCCCGTTGGCCGTACCAACGAATCCCCGATAGACATTTAATTATCTCCGGTCAAACGAGGGACCTTTAAATTTTCACGAAAGTCCGCATATCATTCCGCCCGGCCGGCCAAGTCTGCTCGCTACACGCGATCACCATGTAAGTATCGTATCGCGAACAAAAAAAAGAAAATGGCAGGAAATACGGCGAACGCAGTTGTAACACGATATTCGTTAGGAATTGAGATGCTCGATGCAATAATGACGCAAAACCCGCGAAATGTAAAAAATGCGATCTCTGGCAAAATCCCTTACAAGCAAAATTTGTGAGTGAAACGACAACGCAAATCACTTTTTTCTTTCAAGTGTCGGGATTTCATTATTTGTACGATTGCGTATATTAATAATACAATATAATAATTGTTTCGCGAAAAATTTGATTTGAACCGCCGAGTTGTTGATTGTCAGCATTTTTTTACGCTTTACGACGGATAAAGATCGCGGATAATATATACGACGCGATTGAAAAATTCAACGAGATGTCGCGGTCAATGACAAACGTCATCATAACCTATCATACACGGAATTTTTTAAATATCGCAATTTGATCTCTGGTTCGAAGCCGATCTCTGGTAGAACCCGCCGCAAAAAATAGCTTGCAATCGCGAATTGAAATGTGAGACCGGATCGGAGTGTACCAGGGAGAGATTGTTATAAACTGCGGTAGCGCGAAGTAAATTTTAAACCGATCTAAGTTTACAATTTGCGATCTGTTGGAAAAGTAGAGAATTTCTGCGCCGGTAGAATCCAAAAAAATTAATTCCGAATTATCCGGCAAAAACCCATATTAAGTTATCGCCTTTTAGATGTCAAATAATCATAAGATACTATATGAGACATATCTCAAAGTATTATGACTAAAATAAGAATATTAAATAATATGTGATAAAATCATACAATATGTAATTGTATGTATTGTCATATTATTTTTTATATACAATATTTTCCTCTTTCACGTTTTAACTTAAAAATACAAGAATAATTCTCTGTACAGAACATAAGGTAAAAGTCGTATTTTTCCTTTTTACTTTTCGTGTTTTAACTTAAAAATACAAGAGTAATTCTCTGTACACAACGTAAGGTAAAATTCTCGCGGATACGTACCTCTAGTCTTGGATATTCTTATCGTTATTCGATCCTTAAATACTAATATATTTAAATTTTCAACACAGAGAGAGAGAGAGAGAGAGAGAGAGAGAGAGGAGGATATATACTTTATGTTGAAAGTTTGAATATTCATATTTGAAGACCAAATAATAAAAATGTTCAGTAAGGTAAATGTCTCAGTAATTGAACAATGTTCCAATGATTCATACATTAACAATAGATTAGTTTATATATTAACTAATGATTAAACATTCAGCGAATAACATTGCAAATTGGCAGAAACAAATATCCTTCAGCAAAATCTCAAAATTTTTTTTTTTTAAATGTCAAATATAAATCTATTGTTAATGTATCAATCATTGGGACATTGTTTAATTACTGGGACATTTACCTTAATAAGTATGTGTAAGTATGTGTACCGAGCATTTTGGCACTTGTACTTTATACATCTATAGAATGCTATCATCAACGACTAGTACACCCATCTAACGGCGGCGCATTGAAGCTTTTGGAAGAGTCAGCTCGAGTGCTCGTAAGGTTAGTTCATATATATAGACATTTATTTTGATAAACGACATGACAAGAAAATACATGAAAAGTTCATTTAAGGAATAATGCGTTCATATAACGCATTATTTCGGCGAAAATCTAATGACGATGGCACATAATACACCCCAAGTCCGCTCGCGTTTCTTTTCAAAATACAACCATCCGAAGGTCAATAAGCCGAGTTAGATTATTCATCATAAGGTTACCTTGTAACGAAAAATTCGATTCGATGCAGCGTCGTATACTGATATAGTCAGAAGGTACAAGCTTACCGAAGATCGAGAGCGAGATGTAGGCGTTGAGATTCGAAGCACTCGTTTCGTCCGACAACGGCGAGGCGTCTGTTTCTTGTACTCTATGTTATCCAGCTAACTCGACGGATATTGGTTACAAGTGTCACCAGACATCGCGTTCAATCGCGCCCGTGTTGACTAATTGTCACGGTAAAACGATCGCCCGTCACTTAACTCGGCACTCCCGTCACTCAACTAGACGCTCCCAACAGCCAACTCGACATTACCGACATCGTCCGCGCGCGAAATCCGCTCTCAGTAGCCTATACGAAAATGGATGCATCCAGAAACGATCGCTACCCGAACTTGGCGAGACGATATAAAATTGTGGCGAACTTCATGATTGTGTGACGTCATGGCGTCTTTACAACGGTCCATCTCGCGACGTAATCATCGAAATGCATCGCGAATAATCGTCTTTCCGCGGACAGACCAATACGCTAAAACGATCGTTCGTCACTCAATTCAGCATTCGCGATACTCGACCGCATGCAAAATTCGCTTCGAACATGTAGAAATATATAAACACACGGAGCAGTTGTGACTCGTGCTAGAATCTTCGCAAAACGATATGAAATTGCAGCGAGCTAGCAAGTTCTCGTGACGCCACAATATCTTTACAACAGTTCACCTGCGACATAATCATCAAAGCGTGTCACGGATAATCGCACTTCCGCGAACAAACCAATACGCTAAAACGATTGCCCGTCTCTCAATTCATCACTCTCGACACTCGGCCGCACGCGAAATGCGCTTGAGACGCGCCGAAATGTACACAAATATGGAGCGGTCACGATCTGTCTAGAACCTTCGCACAACGACACGAAACTGGCGCGCACTGGCACGGCTCGGTGACGTCATCATTCCCTTAGCAGTGAACTTTTACGAAGTATCGCTCATATAATTCCGACAGAATAATCGAGATACATGATAATTAGCGAATATATTTCTAAAGAACGTTGTATATTGGAGTATTTTAGACTATTTCAAGAGTACATTTTAATTATTCTCAATTATATATTTTTGAACAGATGACTCATTGGTGATTGGTCTAATCAATCACAATCATTACAGAAAGTAAGGCCGGTATTCATAGTCCGATCTTAATTAAAGTCATCTTAAGTACTGTCTTAAGATGTCATGAACCAATAACAAAGCCGTATTCTCATCTTAAGACATTACCTAAGACGATCTTGAAATAAGATTCGACTATAAATACCGGCCTAAATCTACGTAACCGTGGTAAAGTAACCATTGGTCTGTTCTTTTCAGCTGCATTGCTGAACTGGTGCAGTAAGTTAGAGTGAGAAAACATATACTTGTCTCACTTTAACTTATTGCACTTAGTTCAGCAGGGCAGCTGAAAAGAACAGACCAATTGACAGCGCTGCAAACTGTAGTATACGCACAGATGTCTATACTAAACTAGATTGTTAAGGACCTTTGCACGTAGAAAAATTTTAATCGTAACCGTAAAGTCATAAGAAAACTGACCAATCAGAGTTGATTATTTTCCTTGCGTTCGAGAAATAATCGACTGTGATTGGTCAGTTTTAGGCCTAATGATTAGATCTACTGGGGATACCACTTTAAAAAAAACGCGTCGATAATAATACCTCATGGGTGACATGAAAAGCTATTAGGAACAAATTCAATACGGTACTGAGCCTCGCACGGCTTGCACGATGTGCGTGCGGTGAAGACGTAAAGGGAATAGCGCTGGGCGGAGCGAGCTGAAAATCGGCCGATTGATTAAAATATTGTATATTTTATATAATATTTATAGTAAACGAAAAATAAGTATTTGTAGTAATATTTTGTAAATATATCTATTTACAAATATTATATATGAAAAAAATAAATGTAATTATTTAAAATTATTAAATTAATAAAAAAATAAGAAATTCGAATCTCAGCAATGGTAAGGAAATTTTCAAAGTACAATTTAAATTCAATTAAGTAGCGCGTGAAACAATAAAATGGAAAGTTTAAGAAAAATTCAGGAAAAGAGAAAAATGTATATAAATGTATATATTTTAATAAATATTTTTATAATATTTATGAGATATATAAATATTTTTCATCTATTGAATCTAAGGTCACAAAAATATTTTGTAAATATATTTATGAAACATTTTGGTAAATATTCATAAAATATTCAAATAAATCTTATAAATATTTTGTAAATATTTTATAAATATTTTGTGCTGTCTAGATTAATGGATGAAAAAGATAGAGAATAGTAGTAATTGATGTAATATGTTCAATAAATGTACAAAAATGTGTATTAAATATAGTCGAAATATTACAATTTTAACAAAGAAAGACATAACTACTATATAACATAGAAGTAACAAGAGTACGTGTTACGTCTATATTATATAACAGTAATATTTTGTGCTTGCTGGGATAATTGTAGTAAAAAATATGGAAATATTAATTTATTAATGAGTTGTAGATGGATATTGCAAATGTGGGAGCTATTGGAGGTTTGTTTTTAATAACAGCATCTGAAATTAATTCTGAGGACTCTATCCTCTAATAACTGGCCATGTTCCATGTACTAAATCGATTTCAATTAATGACATTTAAAGACATTTTTTATATTATTTGATATTATTATTAGACTGCCTCTCTCTCTCTCTCTCTCTCTCTCTCTCTCTCTCTCACAATTTTTATAAAGGCAATACTAATATATTACTGATTAAAACCCGACGTCGGACATACGACGATCCAATAGCCAATAGGAAAATTTATTTTCTAGGGACAGTACATCACTAGCTAGTAATCTTAAAAAGTGCAATCTTGATGCATCCAGAGATGCATTCAGCTACATCTGTTGCAAATAAAAGAACGCAACCAGAAAGTGTAGAAAGAGTAATATAGGGCAACTAAAAAGAGCAGACTTTTAGCAGCATCGACTCTACTTTCTTATGTACCGTGATCGGTGATAATTGTGTGCCAAAATGGTGTCGTAGCTTCTCCAACAGCGCCGCAACGCGGAACTTTCTTTACGTTGTGAACGGTTGTGCTTCGCGTCCTTCTCCGCGAAGTATTTTATATCTGTTGAAATTAAAAGAAATCCTTTGGATTTCAAGTTAGAAAAATGGTGCAGAAAAAGGTAAGATTATCAAACTGTTATATAAAAACAATATTTTCCGTAAATAGCATTATTAATAAGAAATATCTACAGTTGAAATACCAACGTGTGCCTCGATATATAATCACCAGAAAATATGTTTTTACTACACAAGCAATTAAGTCTATAACTGCTTGCGATAATTATTGAAGTCAATGTTATAGCATGTGATTATAAATATATTCATATGATTTAATTAATATTTGAAATATTGTAAGGTAATTGCGACATTTCATAACCTCTATGATGCGAAAACGACTTGATGAATGAGAATAATAGATGATATTTGTTGTATATTTGTCAAGGGATATATATATATAGTTTTTGTATTGCATTTTATTTTTTCATCGAATTAATCAGTGAATTTTTGCAAAATATTTAAAAGTAATGTTTATAATAGCAATACACATTTATACATTAAATCTAAACTTTACTTACATGTGTTATTAGAATTATTCATATATTTATAATGAACTTTATTTGATTTATTTTTAGTTTTATCAACTAAATTAAACAAAAAATTGAATCATTTCTTTTTTGTGGTTTTCCTTAATATATATGTGTAGCCAAAGAAGAAGGTGGGAAAGAAGGTAGCTGCCGCACCATTGGCAGTCAAAAAAGTTGAGCCAAAGAAGGTGACCAACCCACTCTTTGAGAAACGTACACGCAACTTTGGTATTGGTAAGTTAAAATAATTTGATCAGTTTGTTAATTATTATTGGGATAAAAGAAACATAAAGCAAAGTAGCTATATGTACATCACAAAAATGAAATGTTAAAATTTAGGTCAGGATATTCAGCCAGCACGTGACCTGAGCAGATTTGTAAGATGGCCCAAGTATATCCGTATCCAGCGACAAAGAGCTGTATTGCAAAAAAGATTGAAGGTACCACCTACTATCAATCAATTCACTCAAACTTTGGATAAGCAAACAGGTAACTTCTATAAATATATATTATGTATCAAAATCTTTTTTATAAATTTGTTATATATATATATATATTAAAATGACAATATTTTTGTTTTTATAGCTACACAGCTGTTTAAAGTGTTGGAAAAATATAGACCTGAAACTGCAACCATGAAGAAGGCGAGACTAAAGGCAAGAGCTGAACAAAAAGTCGCGAAAAAAGAAGATACACCTACAAAGAGACCAAATGTCATCCGTAGTGGAACCAACACGGTTACCACATTGGTTGAGCAAAAGAAGGCTCAGTTAGTTGTTATTGCGCATGACGTCGATCCAATTGAGGTTAGTTATTTATATATGTAATATCGTATATAAAATTTTTATTTTATTCTGTTTCACCATGATGACTGAATTTCTTCACCTGAGAGCAAAAATATTAATAATACATTATTTTTGTTTATACGATGACATTTGACCCTGAGTAGTATTTTTATATTAATGCATTTTTACAAACAGTATTAATACTTGTGCATTCAATTAACTTATTCTTTATTTACAGATTGTATTATTCCTGCCTGCCTTGTGTCGCAAGATGGGTGTCCCATACTGTATCATTAAAGGCAAGGCGCGTTTAGGACGTTTGGTTCGACGCAAGACCTGCACAGCAATTGCCCTTACTCAAGTATGTGAAGTTATATTTGATTCTTAAAATTTATATTTATATTAATATTTATATTAATACACATATAAATCTCCCTTTATGATGAACACAATAAGAGCCAATCCAATGAGAAATCGTGATATAGAATAAAAAATACCCTCTGATAAAAATTTTTGTGAAAACCTAATATCTCCACTTGTACTTTATTTTACTGATATTTACCGTTATTTATTTTAGGTTGATTCTGGTGATAGAGCCAACTTCGCAAAGATCGTCGAAGCTATCAAAACGAATTTCAATGATCGTTATGATGAAATCAGACGTCATTGGGGTGGCGGTATATTGGGAAGTAAATCTTCAGCGAGGATAGCGAAATTGGAGAAAGCAAAGGCCAAGGAACTCGCCCAAAAACAAGGTTAATATTGTAACCTGTATCTTCCACAGATTACATTTAACAATAAAGAATAAAATACATTTGCATCTATATTTATTCAACAGAGTCCTGTATTTACATACATTCCTCTACATTGTACATGTTATATAAAGAGAGTTTACATTATTTTAATTTTAAATAAGAAAATTCTTGTTTTTTTAGATATATACAATTCTAAAGAATATTCTCAAATTATATTCTCAAATCTTTTTAATGAGTTTTTCTAACCTTTTGATACTGCCAGCTTCATGTTCAGGACTATCATGCGCTGCATGACTTTTAGCAGCATGCGCAGCATCCGCGTTTTCGAGTTGTTTGAATTGTTCCAGCAATAAAACTTGCTCGGTCTTTTTTAATCCCTATAAAAAAAAATTATATATATGTATATATATATCGATTTCGTATTAGACATTTATCTAATCGACGATACAAATAATCGTAGTTTTGTGCACAAGAAAAATTACCTTCATATCCAAAATTTTTTGAAATTCCGAGAATGGCAAGTCGGGTAAGCGCATTCGACATTGTTTTACATAATCACTTGGAGATTCAATCGGGGACATTACGATCTTTAATATCATTTCCGCCTTTGCCATTCCTTTGATCACAACCTGATAAAAGAGAAAGAATTGAGAATATTAAATATTATTCAATATTTATTTAACATTTTGTAATTACTCAGTTACCTTTGCATATGCTAATGGGGCTTTTCTTTGTACTTGATAACCTGTCGATGGAAGATCCAACAAAGCTGTTTTTAACATATGAACATCTAATAACAATTGTTCTGCTCCAACGGTGTTTAACGGTTTGCATTTAAACAACTGTTGTATTAATTTTGGTATAAATGAGCTGAAAGCAATGTAGAATGTAGAAGGGACGATGAAAAAATCTTACGCATTCTTATGACATATATGTGTAACAAATTTTACCTGGCAAACTTAACGCATAACTGTGTGAAGTATTTTCTACAAGAAGACAGCCTATCTCGTATAGTAGGTATTGTCTGTCGGAGATGCGCTATTATAGTATTAACGTAATTACTTTGATCACCTACAACTTCCACAGAACTCCATTGCACCTGAAGAAAAATGATTACAATATTTTTATCACATAATATTATTAAGTAGTTTTCATATCAACATATAATACTGTTTATATACTATATCGTGTAAACGATGTAGTATTGTATTTTAAATCCTATTTCATGGTATAGTCATAATTATGTGCAACTGACAATTGCAGTTCTTTTCTATTTACCTTGGTCATTACAGTCAAAGCAGAATCGCAGGCTGTTTCCAAATCTTGAACCAGCGACTGAATACAGTTCTTAATCACACTGAAAATGATTGTTAGAAATAAATGAATATGAACTGTCAAATTAATATACCAAATATTTACATAGGAATCTGGTAGATAATTTGTTAGGAGGAAGGGGAGAATTGTAGGAAATATTGAAATTATAGTAAAAAAGATATACTCATTAAAGATATCCTGCTCCTGAGACAAGTTAATTTTTCCGGAATAACATTTATCTGTCTTTTCGCGGAGTTTCTCCTCCAATTGTTGTGTCGTTTCTAGACAATATTCCGCTGTCGTTAAAATACTGAAAACCGTATATTTTTATAATTTTCTTTCTAAAAAAATATAGGAAAAAATAAATAATTACCAGCATATACGAGATTGTTCCTCCTTGTTTAATCTAGCAGTTTCTCCCTCCTTCAAAAAGCTCTGGAAATTTTGGATAAAACCTGATGTTGATAGATCGCGAAAATCACGCGTAATGTTGCTCATACTTGTGCCAATTCCTACGCTACCTGCGATTCTATATAACATTGTTATTGAAATGTATAAATAGTTCTGAAATTATACTGAGCTACACAATTCTTATACTCACTTGGGTAAATTGTTCTGCAGAATTTTGTGTGCGTATTCTCGCAGATACTTCTGGAAAGTCTCAGCAAGACTCAACATGATAATACCAGTGCTTAGTTGCGTGCATTGCAGCATACATTTTTTGTAAAATACGAATAGATCTGCGCACGAACTCAAAACACTGCTAGGGCCTTCGATACCGTCAAATTCTTTAGCGCCTGGCGGTTGTGTTTTGGCGTCGGTCACGAATTTGTCCATCAGATCTGCTAAATTGCGATCCAGACTCTCTATATAAATGTTTAAGTATGGCTCGAAACATCTTCCTATAAGATTCGCAAACGGACACGGCTTCGGTTTTTTATCTTCAACCTGCAATGAACAAAATGATATACAATTTACTCTAAAATACGCATTTACCGGTACAGATGCATGTAACAGTGACACATCATAAATAACTTTGATACCTGCTCATTTTCTTCGAAAGGATTTCCCGGGACTTTTTCGGCCGCGTCGTTACTGATCGTTGTATTCTTAGCATCGGTAGTTGGTTCTAAAGTACTACCGACAAAACGTTTTGCCAACAACGACTCGAAGTTACTAGTCCTCTGAATTGCGTAAAGCAATAATTTAACGTCTATTTCGCCACGTCTCTTGTTCATCAGTTTAGCGAGATCCTCGCGCGTAACGTGACAGAATTGTACCGCTATTCGCTCGGAAACCTCCCAATCTTGTGGAAAGATAGTGCCAAACTTTGACTCAAAATCAAGCAAATGTTTCTTAATCCACGCGTATCTTCGATCTATCTTGTCCAACCACGCGAAGTCTTGATTCTCATCGAACAAATGTGCATATTCTTGCAATTGAATATTTACAAACCAGAGGAGCAGATCTTTCCTGTAGAGAAGAGAGAGACAAAAATATAAATCTCACTGATACAGTCCTGATGTCATTTGTACATGAATAAAATTGCAAATATTATAAATATCTGACATACATACTTCACTTTAGGATCTAATACTGATAACACCAAGCATCCTTCTGTTAACTGATTAAAATGCTTTGGATTCTGGCCTGAAAAAGCTTGTTTGAAATCTGCTGTAATCTGTTGGGCCAATTCCACATGAATTTGACGTACCTTTCATAAAAAAAATAATAACAATTTAAAAGAAACAATTCTACAAATCATTGAAGAGATATATATATATATATATATATATATATATATATATATATATATATA